GATTCTTACATACTGAGTATTTGAAAATACTATATTTAGAAAGCATGGCAAAATGCTTACATTTTTCTATTGCAAGTGTTAAAGAAAGCTGTATTGATTACACATCACTTTAAGCAAACACAGAAGAAAAATTGAACCAGATATTGTGGGCGCGTGCTTTGGAGTTAATCCTGTATGTGAGAAATGACAGCATCTCCCTTGGAAGACATGAATCAGTAAGAGGAAAATATTCTGTCCTTGTTCTTCTTCCATGATAAATTCGTTCATGATCAATCCCATTCTGTAACACAGTTTCTTAAACAATGCATGTGATCTTTTTTAAAAAAAATGGTTTTTTCAGACAGTTGGTTATGCTAATGAAAAATATAGATGTGGAAGATGTATTCCTCTTAGCTAATGCAGGTGCATTTGTAAATGAATCATAAGTTGCTCTGCAGAATTCAGTCAGTGCTCTTGTGTAAGTCTCTCTGTTCTTCTTGCAGTAGTCTTAGCTGAGGCAGTAGCTGACTTCACTTACACAAGCTGCTACTGCTAAAGCAAAAAAACATCACTCATCCCCTCTCTGAAACCTGAGCCCTTTTTCTGTTGTTTTAAAGTGATATGTTGTTAATGATTGCTGTGTTTATTTGCCCCTAATTTCTTTTGCCATTCTCACTAAGGTATGAACTTTTCCCCTTGTTGCTTCAAGATGCTTATCAGTGGGTATATATCCCTGAATAACGAGGTGCAGGAACAGTAGTTGTTTCCAATCTGAATGATGGCTTTGGGGGTCCAGATGACCCATCATGTGAAATTAATCAGTTGTGGGTTAGTTAATTTCGTCTTGTATGCAATTGTAAACTTTATGGGATTTTTGGATATAGAGATTACTAGGACTCAATATATGCCCCATTTGCTCATACCAAATTATTTTCAACTTCTGAATGAGTGCCAATTCTCTGCCATTCTGATGTTAAAGGTTTTAATATCAGCATTAGCTGCAAGTCTCAGAAAAAAAGATCTTAGCAAAGTTCTATTTGTATTAATAGTAATCCAAGCTGATAGTAGATGCAGACAGCCAAAGCCTCTTAGGATGAACACAGTAATACTGGTGGTGTAGCCAAACCTTGGTATACATCAAATGCATAATTAAGACAGATGATATTCTGGTTGAAAGCCATTTGTGAGATGTGTTAATGAACAGAACACCTCGATATTCAGAAGAACAGTGGTTATTCTGGTCCTCCAAAAGAAGAAGAATTCATGTCTGAGAAGCAAGCCTTAAACAATAGGCCAAAATTCAACTGTGGCACTCTCCGTTTCTTTCCTCTCCTGTCTCCAGAGGGGCTACCAAGTTTCCTGGGGTGCTGTGAAGTTTCACTTTCATGTGAAAAGGTAAATTGGTTCACTTTCAAATGAAAGTACATTTCAAGTAAGCCAAGCTGTTTGGCAACTGTGCTGGGGGACGGAAGCTGTGAGGGGAATTTGGTTTAAGTTCAGTCATCAGCACTTGTTAAGCAGCTAAACTTCAGAGAGAGATGTTTCCTCCCATTCCTTCCAGCCCTAGTTCACAGCTTTTAAAATGTGGCTATTAATTTTTTTAAAATTCTGAAAAAGTATCCCAGAAGGAAAAGATGCACTGCTCAAACTCAGTTTCTTTACTGTAAAGCGGAAGTATTCTAAAGTAGATGTTGGCATTTTAATGGAATAAGAAGGAAGGAAGGAAGGGAGGATTTAATTTTATTTCATAGCCAACTGAAATCCTTAGTATATTTTCAAGGTGTGAAAGCTTGGCAGTCTTTTCTTTCTGTCATTTTCTGTAGTCTTGTTTTGGTGCTTTCACTTAGTTCATTAACTTGATGGGTTATATTTTTAAGAGAAGCAGACCATGATGAGCATCTTTCAGGTCTTGTTATAATATGCCAGGATAACAATTAAATAAAACCCCCAGTTCCCAACCTCATAATTCCTCCAAAAATCTGAAAAGCAGTATTTTAGAGAGCGGTACAAATGTATTAATTAATAAGCAATGTGGAGAAAGATAGCAAAAAGACATATTTAAGGTATTATTTTGTTGTGTTACTTCTGCACCCAGAGCTGTTCTAAGGCTCTTGTGAAATGGTAGCATAAATCTGTGATAGTTAGAAATTAATTATAGGCTAGACGGCATGCTACTGTTGTACATAAAATCATTAGCAATCATTGCTTTCCAACATACCAATATTACCTTGTACTATCAGGTGGACAGCTTTGAGTTGACCAGAGGACAGTTCCTAGAGCTGAGATGTTTTTGCAGTTATGGAAGGACCTACAGCATCTCTTGAAAATGCTGTTATAACCTCCCTGAAATATCATGGAAGTAATACCTGTTTTTATTTAATCTTTCTCATTCAGAAAGCCATCTGTGTTTTTCTGTGGTCAGAAATGATGGTGTTTGTTCTGCCAAGAGTTGGACAAAAAGCCAGCCCAAGGAAACAGAATGTCCCTTGGCTGTAGAGTCAGGTCCTGCCCTAACTAGTCTTGTGTTTTGTAACGTTTTCCTGCCACCTGTGGCAGGTGAAGGGAAATATGTTAGCCAGGCTGAGAAGGTGGAGAGGAGAAGGAATTTATCTATGGGAATCGAAACAGCAAACAGTATCTGCTTTTGGCTGCCTCCAGTCCTGTTTTCTCTCCTGTTGAGCGTTTGTTCAAATCCATGTAATGATGCGGCCAGAATGGTTTACGTAGTCTGCTGTGGGCATGCCTTCTCTGCATGAACAGGGAAGAACTTGTGCATCCTGGTGGGCTGGCATGAGAAGAGGTGCCTTCTCTCCTTCGCCACAGTGCATCTGAAATTCAGCTGGGCAAGTCATGGGCGGAATTGAGATTTTTGACGTTTAGCATGTGGTAAGGAATCCTGTTCCAAAATTCATCAGAGCTGGGAAGGAGGTTTAGAAGGAGAAAATATGGCAAGGGGACTGAGGCCATCCGTTTCTGGTGAAGCAGGGAAGCAGCTTCCTGCACATTATTCCCCACTCACATTTCACTCTTCCCCTTCAAAGCTTTATGAAAGATAGAGGCAGAATCCCAACAGTGCCTGTGCTGAACTGGATGCACTACTGGCAGGAGCAGTCAAAAAACAGGCAATGGTTTTGTTGCTAGGTGGTGTTTCCAGGTGACAGTGAACTCACAGCCTCATTAAACCACAGCCCTGGTGTGTCTGTATAGAGACTGCCTCTCTCTCTCATTCAGACGCTAGTGCAATCTGACAGGTGCATCGTGTGCATGCCTAAATCATTGAGCAGTAAAGGGAAATAGCAAGCTGACATGAAAATGAGATGGAATGATGAGAAATATTTCAGTTATCGTAGTTTTGACCTCATGAGTTATTTGGGGACATAATGAACTATGAATGTGCATTGAAACCACTAATACCGCTGGAGTTACAATTGACATGATACTCACAAAGCAAGCTTTTTTGTTAAATGTATAGTGCAAATGTGACAAAAAAGTACCGTTGTTGGTAGTTTTAAAAGTTTTATTTGGAGATCATCTAAGCTTAAATTGGTTTGTTAGTTACAAAACTTGGTGACACATTAAATTAGTCATATTCAGAAAAGTTAGAGATTAATTTAATTTACTGTTAGCTGCAGGGGTGCCTTCACTCTGCACACTATTTAGTTTTGTTACATTTTAAGATAATTTTTATATTTGGTGTTTACCTGTACAGATTATGGAAACTGATAGTATATTCCAGTGGTGCTGTTTGCATTATAATGCTCATGAAGATAACTATTTTAAAATTTCTTAATAGCTTCTGCTTTTCAAAATACTAAGTCTGTTAATGGCTGCATTTTACTCAGTTCTCCTGTGGTTATTTTAGTGGACTTCTCCAAGTCTGGGATGGGTGTTTGTGAAAAGTACGACAAGAGTGTACCTTCACACATTACTTCTAAATGTCCCATAAATTAATTGTAATATCTGAATTAATTTTAGCGTTATTAATGCTGTAAGTTTTTGTTGACATTTTATGGTACGTGCTGTCATAGTAAAACTACACAGTATGGTTTCACATAATATTCATAAAAATCATTGGGTAAATTTGCACATAAAATCTCACAGTTATTTGAAACTGATATGGCATGTGAGTAACATGTAATCTACTGGACTAATAACAAAGCAGTGTATGCTGAGAATTGCTGTATTTCATTGCTTTTGTAATGACATTTTATTGGTTAGGAATGTAAGTAAATACTTTTTCAGTGTTTTCTTCAACAGGACACCACAGGCATAGAAAAGATGACAAACTGTTGTGAAGACATGTAAGTGCTGTAAAATTTCTACTTTTATTTGTTGAAAAGCTAAAGGAGTAGCTGTTTTTTAACTGTGTGAGAGAGAAAAGGAATTGAAGGCACTGTTATTACTGTTTTGCATGATACTGTGCTTTGTACTTTTTAGCTCTAGCAGCAGCTCACTAATCTTTTAATACTGGTTGTACACAAAGTAGCCTTACATAGCTGCCATTCCTTCCAAAGCCAGTGGAACTATATTCTTTCAAAAGTTGAGATCAAAGGACACTTTCTGCTGTGTCTTGACATACATTGATTCTGAGGTTCTCCTCTGCTTCAAAAGTTGTGTTTGGTTGATTGACAACACAGATAGTTTCTGTTCACCAAAGTTAAGTCTCAGCTGCATGCTGTAATGAAAGAAAAGCTGTATTTGTGATGCTGGGACACAATTCATCAGAGTCCAGTGCTGGATCCCCAGCCAACCTGCATTGTTCCGGCTGACTGGAGTGCACCGTAGGCGTGCTGTCTTTCACTAATAATGCTGTCTTCTGTAGATCGAGGCCCCGAAAGCCGTGGCAGCAGACCTTCTCTGAAGTTTTTGGCACTCACTGGAAGATCCTGTGGTTTATTCCTTTCAGGCAGAGACAACCACTGCGAGTTCCCTACCACTTTGCCAATCATGTCTGAACAGATGGATGGTGGGCACAGATGGGTCCTCCATGCTGGAAGTGCGTTACAGGTTTTATGATAATAGGACTGTGACAGTCTTCAAGTCAATTAAAAGCCACCCACCAATTGCAGGTGTCACAATGTGCCCCAGGCTTTAGTTTAATAGTGGTCTTGATTCTGTTCTGAGATTAATACAAGTTGTATGTTTAACTTTAGGCATATTTACTTTCAAATTAGCTTTCCAAAGGGATTTCTTTTGTCTTTGAGGTTAATACCAAAACCAAAAGACCGGAATGAAATCTCTCTCTGTTTGATACTGGCTCTTTTGATTTTTTGTTGTTTTTTTTTTGTTGTTTTGGTAGAAAACACTGAATTTTACATTGATTGTTCACTTTCCCACTACGTGTCTTATTTTTACTTGAATTTTTTTAGTGTTTTCATGAATAGGCCTCTGTAGATAATGTTCATGTCTTTTTTTCTGCTACATGTATTTAAAATTCCCTGATACTTTTTCTTTATGATATGCAATAGTAACCCTGCAGCACCGCACTATAAAAGGTGACTTTTAAAACTGAGTCAGACCTCTTCTTAAAACTTTGTCAGAGAGGTTTTTATAAATGTATGTGTCTATATAGAGAGATCTTGCTTCTTACTGTTACCTTTCTGCATAGACATAATCTTAATGAAAAATATTAATGGCATTATGTCAACAAAAGTGATAAAATGTTCCAGGGCAAAATATGCATATATAAGGCATGTTTTCCCTGTATCCCAAGGTTTTTTTTGCAGTGATTCAACAAAGAACTTGTATGGTGCAAATACTGGAATGATTACTTTTTAAAAATGCAGATTTAATTAGTTAGCATAATGTACCATAAAGAAGAGTATCATAAAGTTACAAATTTTTTATCTGTTTTTGTTTATTCATTATTAGCTGGAATTAGTTTAAGTGTTTGTATATGGGAAATACATGTGAAAATATTTTAAAATATTTATACATAAACACAGATATTTGCTACTCACATATAACGTATACTAACTGATTTAATAAGGTATTATGTTGATGTACAATAACTTGCTGTGGTCCCTTTAAGTGTGAAAGTAGTTAACCAAAGAAAGCATCCTTAAGATTACATCTGGTAAAATGACAACAGTTCCCAAAGCACTGTCTCAGCTTTGCTGTAGCTGATAAAAGTATGTGATTTCTTATATTCCTCTGTATCTATACAAATATCAGCATGAGTTGTTTGTGATTTTTGAAAGTTCTGTGAATTTTTATGAGATACTCGCAGCTTCAGTGTTTTCAGTTATACTGCTTGCTGTGTTTGTTGTCTAGTCTTACCAGGACTAGGATCTACCTTAAATGACAGCCATGCAACCGGATAATAAAAGGCACAGAATCAGGATGTAAAATTGGTAGGTTGTGTTTGGAGAGAGTAATAGATTGTTTGTGAACAGTTTATTCAGAAAGAAGGGCTGGATTTGTCATGAATGGTATCCATAATTAATTTTTTAGATCAGCTTTTTAAAAATCTTAACTCAATCACTGCCATTAGTGGGTGTCCATTCATTGACTTGGCAGATTTTGAAGATCCATTGAAAATCCCAAAAGGTACATCGTAAAAATAACTTAAATTTTAAACTTTTTAAACTTATAACATTTGAACCTTTGCTTTCCCTGACCTTTTAAAAATAAGTGCAATGTTTTCTTCATTTATATTTCAAGCCTGATGTTCAACCACTTTTTTCATAGCATTTTTAGACATTAGACTTTTTTAAAGTTGGTCATGGCAGCAATAGTTAAGCAAAAGAAGGCTTGAGGAAAGTGGATGTAGTAAAGTGGCTGGAGGTAGTCCTTGAAATTAAGAAGAATGTGCATGTAAATTAATGGCTTTTTTTTTTTTTTAAGGAATTCCACTTGTTACAGTCTCTGTGAAATACATAGAGGAGTGATATACCAGTTGTGTTTTATGTGTCAATATTTAAATCTGTTTAATGAGTAAAACATTTTTTCCCAAGTTTTTAATGCTTATCCATTATTGTAGTTAGCAGATCATACAGTTCTGACACTTATTTAGAAAGATGATCAAGAATTCAGCAATTCTTCATACATTCACTGTGAGGATGTACGATTATTCTTTCTGTTTTCTAGTATCATTGTTTCAGTTAATTTGACTGAGCACGGCGAACCAGATCTGCAGTACCGAATCTGCTCGACGGTAGGAGCCTCAAACAGTGTATTTAATTTTTGTAGATGTGGTGGAGTGGAGTAACAGGACCATTAAGTTTTGCCCACTTTCTGGGGATAAAAATCCGCCAGCAGCCCAGATGTCGCACTGTGTGCCGTGTCCCGCTATTCTCAAACAAAGGAAGGTGCCAAACACGGGAAACCAGTGCAGCTGTGGCACGGACTGGGATTTTTGTGCCCGCGCCTCCCGACCTCGGTGGGGCCACGCTCCGCTATGGAGAAGCGGGCGCGGCCGCCTCCTCCCTCGCACTCGCAGCGCCCTCTGTCGGCTGTTATGCGCAAGCCCGGAGCAGGGGGACGCCCGGCTGAACGCGTCATTATGACTCAGCGGGGATCGGGATTGGCGAGGTTTGGAGCGCGTCGGTTCCTCTCGGGATCAGAATGTGCCTCAGGGAAGTAGACCCAGCCCCACAAGTGCAAGTGAACTGTGCCGGGTTTGTTCAGAGCATCTTAGCAGCCGTTCAGCAAGTTTTTCACCTATTCATTTCATGAATCTTGCCTGACTCTTGAATGAAAATGGTGAAATTACCAGATTTGCAGTTTCTCAAATATGTTCATGTTGTTGCATCTTTTTTAGTAAATATATTATTTTTTTGGCCTCCCATTCATCCTTAGCATTAGGAATCAGCATGTAACCTTAGTAAGGCAGCTGCTTCATTTTTTTTATCCCGTTTCTGACTATGTGGAGGAGAGAAGGGAGAATTTCGAGAGAGGCTTCATTTTTAGGAGGTACTGAGCTTTGTTCTTTGAATGATGAGCCTCTGAAAGTGTAAAAGTAATCAAAAGATTTTTAAAAATTTTAGCCAATGACTAGTGTATTAGAGTATTATTTCTGAAACTGATTCGTAGAAAGAGCTGTTCCAGGAGAAAAAGATCAGAAACACTTGTGTTATTTAATCTGAAATCCTTTAAACCTTGAAATCCTTGAAGTCCTTTGAACCTTTATTTTATTACCATTTTTTCCCCTTCAGGTCTCTTTCATGATTTTGTATTTTAGTAGAAACTGCATTCTTAAGAATGCACTAATAAGCTCTGCAGCTTATTAGTGGTTAATTATTAATTTTAATTTAAAAAAATCTTACAGACAGTATTCATGAATTTCATCCTAATATGACATCAGAAGTACACATGCTTTATTGAGCACACTGGATATTAGCTATTAACTTAACAATATTTGATTTCCCGAGGGGTACAAAGAGAAGTCAAAGCACTAATGAAAATCAACCTGAGAACATTTGAAAATAACTGGTTTCTTTGCAGTATGAGGTAGCTCCTGGTGAGGCTGAACAATGCTACCTTGCCATGTTTTCGTAATAGCAGAGATGTGAGATTTTGTTTGTAAAATCTTGATGTCTAAAATAAAAGATTCTGCATTAAATTATGTTTATGAATCTATCCTCTGCTCTATTGGTTTGAAGGACAGGTTCCATCAAACAGCAGGTAGAGTAACTGAAAGGATTTTCCCTGTGAAAGAATTTTTTGTTTATGCTTTCAATATAAATTGCTGTTAGTTGTATCTGATAGCCACTTTGTACCTCTCTTTTAGTTCTTACCTAGGCTGAATGAGTAGTGGACACAAGGTGTGCTTTTTCAAGTCCTTGTAGGCCTCAACTTACTATCTTCCAGCTGCATCAGGTTAGTGGTCAGGTAAGAGGCAGAGGCTCATTTTGTCATACTTTGAGATTATCCCTTGTCGGCCGTTAGATTTTGTGTTGTGCTAACTAGTGTGAATCCTTGAAGGACCTTTGAAGCAAGAGGTCCCAAATCTCTTTGAAGCTTACTTTGCACTTTGTTTTAAGCAGATGACTTGTTTAAGTTTGTTTGTTAAGTTAACTTTGTTTTCTACAGAGCAGTTGATTCTTGGCATTAATGATGCAATAAATTTTTATGTTTGAAAAAGAGGGAGTTAAATTTAAAAATAACCTCAGTTGGTGACTCAGAGGTTGAAGCTGCAGGTAGTGTATCCCATACAATCAGGATGAAGATGACTTCTCATTTCAGTAATATGTCTACATAGCAGGAAGGGTCAATACAGAGTGCAAATGAGAATGTTTTCAAGAAGCATGTCCTTGACCTAACAAGAAATTCTGCTTCTGAGCAGAATTACCATTGTGATTTAGTTAAGGGATCAGACCTTTTCTGGGTCTCATTTACCCAGACAAAGTCTCTTCTGTTGTCATGAATTCACTACCATAGCAAGGTTACTGCCTTGGATGAGTTCTGTTCATTCCTCTGCTTTCAGCTTTGATGACTCTT